CATTCTTCTCTTGGTAGCCAATTCTAACATTCAGTACCCTTCCATATCCTTATATGTTTCCATATGTAATTAAAATGACTCTTGCTTCAGTGGAATCCTCTATTCTCTTCCTCTTCTTTCTTTATTTGATTTGGCATTTAGCACAATATGCTAGCACTGAGGCCCTCCTTCACCTAAAATAAATAAATATATATAAATATAAGATTTTTATTTATATATACATATGTACATGTATATATATGTACATATATGTCTGTGTCTGTGTGTGTCAGATATGTATATATATAAGTTTCAGAGGATTAAGTCATTTTTAAAAAGACAAAAAAATTGCCACCTTCTAGCCCTAAAAACATCATCTTTTTGGGAGGTGCAGTGGAGAAGGAAGAGGCACATTCCCTCATTTTCTAAGCAAAGCTTTACTGAGCACTAACCATGTACTAGGTACCATCAAACCAACTATCCAAAATGATTCCATGTAACCCCATACTCTATTTGGGATACTTCCCTTCATTCTCAGTATTTTCAATACTTCAAAGAAAAATCTACCTCTTTAATAAGTGTCTAATATTCTTCTTCAGCCCCACATACTCTCCCTTTATACCTCTCCTCTCATTTTTTCTCCTCAATCACAAATGATTTTATTTTTAAATAAGAGCATTCATTTTACACATTTCACTCAATGAAAGTTTTCTACTACCTACCTAAAAGATTTTAATTCTACATATCAAGCATAAAAGTAGCAACGATGGCATTTTAAAAAAGAAAATAATAATGCCAAAAAGACAATTAAATACCTCAAAACTAATAAATATAGGGAGATGAATTAATATGTCCACCCGAAGCTACATTAAACTACATTCAGTGTGCAGATACAAAGATTCCATGCAGCAAATAATAAAAATAACAATTATTATTATTTATAATAATAGTAACAACAATGACAATGAAAGCTAATTACAGAAAAGCAAAAATGATATCTTTGAATCTAACAACAAAAGTCTAAAGGTATTTTGTAGTGGCCTTTCTTCTGAAAGGAATTGCTAAAAACAATCATTAAGTAAAAATAAACTCCAATTACCTATCATTTAGCCTTCTAGACATTTACTTTTACCTACTACCACTAATTATCTTCTTTTTGAACTGAATTTCAGACTGTTCCTTAACAGTTAACCATCTAAAATAAGTAAAATATAAGACGGATATATAAAAGGGATGGTAAACATAATCTAAATTCTACTGAACTTTTTAATACATCAGATTCAGATTCAATTTTCATAATTCATAACTTAAAAGAGAAATGATATATAATTTTTCATCTTTTTTCTTTCCCAAAGAGACACTGATCCTTATCTACAAATTTCAAAATTACTCTAAACTGTGTTCTTGTACCTCAGGTGATAAAAAGAACTTCTATAAGCAATCAGAAAGTCTGAAAAAAAATTCCAGAAATTCAAAATACACTAACTTCAATATAAAAAACTGAGCCAAAAGAGAATATCATCTACTCCTATGCTACTCTGTTTTGAATCTAGGACAATTAAGGACACTTATTTATACCCAATTTGCAGCCTCACTACACCGAAGTGAATCCTGTTATAAACCATATGAAGAATTACAAATATGCAAAAAAGTTGCCCACATCATGAACCTAGGCTAGTTTGTAATTTAATGAAAATAGAGAAAACTTTTTTTAAAGGTTAAAAATCCATCTAAATAGCCATCTGAACAGTAACACAAATTCTACACAACTACAAATTCTAAGTATCTTTTGATGGCATCCTTGGAATAAATTCTGTCAAACAAAATTAATCTAGAACACTTCATGGAGAGAATGGAGGTAAGTTAAAAAAAATGCTGTGTTAAAACTAGGAAATGAACAAAATTTAGATGAAGCATGTAGGGATGAACAAGAAACAGAATATGAGTTTACTGGAAAAAAACATACTAAACAGAATGGTTAGTTCCATAGAAAAATGCCTATATGGATGTGTCCTGTCAGCCAGGTCAAAAAAAAACAAACCCTAAATAAAGGTAATAGTTCAGAATTCCTTTACATATCCAACACCTTTTGAGCACTGTAATTTTCCAGATTCCAAAGCCTACTCAAAAACATTTAGTTTTTAGTTTCCCCACTGTCAAAAGGCAGTAATTCTCCATGTGCTAAAGTTCAGAGTAGTGTGAGATTTGTCTGAGAAGGCTTTATGCTTGACACTTGAATGTGGCCTTGAATTATATGAAGCATTTGAGTAGACCGAGGCAAGAGCGGACAGGTTGAATGGAAGAAGTAAAGATATAGGTGTGGAAAGCACTGGGGAATGGTGAAAAAAGTAACATGAGCTAATATTGGAAAGGAAATTCTTCCTTTCTCACTTTAGCAAATGGAGAATTATTCTTTTGATGATTAACTGTACTTTCTGATTCTTTACACTGTTATTAAATTTAAAGGTGTGTGTGTGCTTGTTTCCCACAACTAGCCTAGAAGTTCCTAAGGAGCAAAGACTATTTTTATTACTCTCTTATTTCCCGGTGCCTGATATATTGTGGATATTCAACAAATATTCACAGAATCACAGCAGATGAAGACAATACTGAATGTAACCCACATAGTCGCTAACTGCATACTTAGCCTCCTTTTCTTAAGGCAAAATATAGTGTTGCTGGTATTTTGGACATTAAAAGAACTATGAAGAGCCAAAACATAGATCAAGACTTTCAATTGAAGACTTTTCTGAACAGCAGAGTTAAGCATTTCACTAAAGCAAGCAATCCCTAACGTGCTTTAACTGACTTAAACATACATGTAATGGAACCCCTATCCTCACTGCAACACACATATGCATACATGTACACACACAGACATGCAATCAGAAGTTCCTCTTCTTATAGGGTAAGTTACTGATTAGCAAAAATGCTCTATGTCCAGAAAAGAGTGATCAAAATAATGAAGAAATCTGAAATTATATAATAACTAGCTAAAGGCAATGGGAAAGGCATGGGGAAAAAATTGGTGGGAAGGAGAGAAGAGTTGTTGAAAAGGAGAGATTATTCATGTAAAAGTGAAGACAAATGGACTTATGAATGGTTAAAAGTAGAAAAAAACTAGCTTCAACTCAAAATGAGAAATTTTAATAATGCAACCTGTACAAATATGGAATGGGCCACTCAAAGGAAGTGTGTTTCCCATTACTGGAGATGAAAAAACACAGCCTGGACAATCCACTTGGCAGGAATGTTATAAGACAAATTGAATACCAAATGAGAAGTAGGACTAGAATCCTCTTAGATTCTCCCAAAACTGTGTGCCTGGGGCCCTAAAATATCTATCTTGTTCCAATCCATTGCAGTACCAGCTCCCACCAACACTGTCAAGGGGAGAGAGAGTAAGAAAAAGATGTATTCCTGTCATCCTGACCAGGAATTCAGAATACATGCCCTGTGCAAACCAGGCCACAGAGAACATTTACAGTTCACAGAATCAGTACTGTGACACAGATAACATTAAATAAGTTTTTTTTTATGAATCCAGATGTCAATAGTTAAATGTGTTCTACATTTCAAATTAACTCAAAACAAAATTTAAAAACATACCCCGTTCATGAGAGGGCCTAGCCGTATTATCTTCCATGCTGTACTATTATTTCACTTTTGTTTCCCAAGAGTTTAAGTTCCCTGTGAACAGAAACTACTGTTTATAAATTTGTATTCACCCACAGATCCTTAGCATGCTGCTTGATTAACAATTCTGCTTCACTAATAGAAATTAAGCTCTAGAATGTCGTAAACTTTTGTAATCAGCTAGAGACAGAGTATAGCCGTGAGTCAGGGCACAGACTACTCAAATTCAAGTCTCACTCAGACCGGCTCCTTGTGTAATCTTGAGCAAGTCAATTACCCTATCCACGCCTCAGTTTTCCTATCCTCAAAATGGTGAAAGTGAGGATTACGGAAAATATTCCATTTAAAAGAACCTGGCACATGGTAAGTGCTCGATAAATAATTAGTATAATGCTCAGCACGTAGTGTTATGTATTAAATAACGTCTGCCCCTTAGTACAATTGTTTAATGCAAAAACACCGTCAGATATTAGTACTGAGTTGATTTTATGTTAAATAAGTACTGCAACTTCTTTACGTGTCAAAATATTAAAACGACTAACGTGATGCGCAAATTGTATACCTGAAACTATGATAATGAAATCAGGAACTGGACTCTGGGATAGAAATCTGCTTCTTCCAGACTTCCCAAAGGAGATCGACAGTCAAGAAAGAACAGTGATTTCTCTGCAGCAAAACAATGGTGTTCTGAACCTACGTCAATTAATCTAACACGTCACACAGCCCAACATTTCTTCCTCTGAGAGCCTGTTCGGTTTCTCTCCTTTGCACTCTGAAGGCAAGATGCACCTAAGCTCTTCCCCGCCTAGAAACTGAAACTTTACCTACTAGGCCTCGCTCCTCATCCCACCAGAGCATTATAAATTCTTACTGCACGGGCAAAAGAGGAAATAAATGGAGGCAGGCTATAATTTCCTTGGGGGAAGGTTTTCTTAAGATCCCAAGGTATCCGTAACTCTCCAAATGCGGTCCAGCCAGAGAATCCGCAAAGAACTGCCCGATCCAACTTAAGTGACAGACGCGCCGCCACCTCATCATTGCCCAGTTCACGGTCCCTCCTGCTACTCAGCCACGCTTGCTCAGCGCAAAACGAGCAGCCCCGGCCCCTGATCCTTTCTCTCTCTAGGTTTTTCATTTCAACCATTTCAACTGCCTACCGACTCCACTTCTGCAAAGAGACAGCGCCCTAAACCTACCTGGGACAGATGCCTCTGCTACAAACGCCGAGTGCAGAGTCAGGGCGCATGCGCATTTCCCAGCCATCGTTCACGTGACTGGCAGTGGCCGCTCTCAGTTTGCTCAGTATTTGATTAAAAGGCCTTAACCCGAGTCCAGGCAGGGTAGTGCTCCTTTGCACAGTTGCTCACCCCGTGCCTGATGGGAGTCGTAGTTCTGCGGGTGAAGAGCTAAGAGGAAACCAAACTGCGATCTCTGCGATCCCCGCCCTCCTCTTCCCCGAGGGAGGAAGCTGGCCCAGCGCCCAGGGGCCGGGCTTTCAGCCGCTCCCTGCAATGCTTCTTCTGTGGGTGTCGGTGGTCGCAGCCTTGGCGCTGGCGGCGCCAGCTCCCAGAACAAATGGGCAAAGGCGGGGAGCAGCTCAGGCGTGGCCCGATGCGCCTAACGTGGTGCTAGTTGTGAGCGACTCTTTTGTAAGTACAGAGAGGCGGCGGGAGGAGGATGGTGGGGCGCGCCCCTCCAAATCCGCTACTAGCCTACAGCCTTCCCTGCGCCGCTGGCTTTGGGGAGCAGAATCTGAAACTTTCCAACATGTTTTACCCCAATGCAAACTAAGAAACGCATTTCATCTTGAGGCCCCGTATACACACACGTACACCACATAGATATGCATATAATACATATAAAACAGTAGTAAATAAAATGCAATTTGATAGCATCTTTGTAAATCTTTTTAATTTTTATTTATTGCTAGCCTCGACCCACTAAATTATTTTACCACTACTAATGGACTTTCAGCCCATACACCCCGTTTGATTTAATAGTGGGGAAAAGTAACCTTCTGCATCTCCATAAAAGCTTGTTAGCTTTCTAGTGGTCATTTCCTAGTTCATCTCAAATTTGCAGGAATTTATGTTTGGGCGAAAAGTGAAAAAAGTTATCGTTATTTTTACTACCCAGGTATCCGATAGTCCTGTTAATACTGATTTAAATGTGTTAATTGATATAATTTGATCCACTCCCTGATATTCCAGAGAAATTGTGTACGTGTGTTGTTGTTTAATCCTAAACTTGAACAGTTTTTGAAACTCCCAAGCCATCAACCAAAAGACTACTACTATCTATTACCTGATACTTTTAGTATTGTCCATGATTTTAAAACTACTGCTTGGACAAATGTTTGTTTACTAAGTTTAGTATCACTGGGTGTTACTGTGGTCACATAGATAGTTGGTGTTGAGCATGTCTGGTACCAAAGAATGTTTTTAATCACTATGTTGTGTTGCCTTTCTCATAGATTAACCTGGAATGATTAAAGTCATATAATCTGGATATACCCATAGGATTTGTTGATAGTATTATATAAAGTGATCTTTATGATTACCTAAACTTTGAGAACAGGCAATATTGGAGAGTAACATAAAGGAAGTTTATTAGGGAGTATTGTTGAGATCAAAGAGAAAGGAAAGAAGCAGGCAGGATTGTGCAGAGAGAAATTGAGTTGTGTTTCTGTATCAGCGGAGACCTCAGCTGACTTTATGGGTAGTTCTTAAACTAATATGATATTTCAAAACCGTTTCAAATTAAGGTGAAGAGACCAGACCTTTCTACCTTTATGTTGGATGGTTATAGGCTGCTCCCAGAATGGGGTATGATCATGCATAAGGCAACACTCTTCAGCAGAGGCCATCTTGGATTCCTAAAAGGGAATCTATAGAGTGCATCACAACATCCTAGAAACTTCCAAAGATAACAAATATTTCATTTTTTTTTAGTATAGTAGGAATACGTAGATTTGTATATATTTGTGTATATAAATATATAAATACTGTGTGCAGACTGATATTTCTTATGAATAGAGACGTAAAGATTTGATATTGTAAATATAGTAATAATCACCAAATTGATGTATAGATTCATTGCAATCTCTATAAAAATTCCTATGATTTTTTTTGCAGGAATAGAGAAACCTATCTTAAAGTTCATGTAGAAATTCAAGGGTCCCAGAATAGCCAAGACAATCTTGTAAAAGAACAAAGTTGGAGGACTTACACTTTCTAATTTCAAATATTACTAGAAACTATAGTAACAAGATAGTGTGATATTGGCATAAGGATAGACACATAGATCAAAGGAATAAAATTGAAAGTACAAGAATAAATTCTCAGGTTTATAGTTAATTGATTTTCAACAAAGGTGCCAAGACCATTTAATGGCGAAAGAAAAGAAATTTAAACCAGTGCTGGGAAAACTAAATATCTACATGCAAAAGAATGAAGTTGGACCCTGCCTCACACCATTTTCAAAAATTAACTCAAAATGAATCAATGAGTCAAAAAGCTAAAACTATAAAACTCTTAGAAGAAAACAGAGGTCCAAATCTTTGTGACTGTGGATTAAGCAATTAAAAAATGGGCAAAAGATCTGAATATACATTTCTCCAAAGAAGATACAAATGCCAATAAGCACATGCAAAGGTACTCAACATCATTAATCATTAGGGAAATGTAAATCAAAACCATGATGAAACACCAGTTCACACCCAGTAAGATGGCTATAATCAAAAAGGCGCAATAACAGAGTTGGCCAGAATCTGGGGGAATTGGAACCCTTATACACTACTGGTGAGAATGTAAAAAGGTGCAGCCACTTTGCAAAACAGTTTAGCAATTTCTGAAATGGTTAAACATGACTTACTGTATGATCCAGCAATTCTACTTAGGTATATGTCTAAGAGAAATGGAAACAAATGTCTACACAAAAACTTGTACATGAATGTTCATAAAAGTATTATATACAATGCTGCCAAATAGTGGAAACAACCCAAATATCCATCAATTGATAAATGGATTAAAAATGTAGTAATATTATTCAACAATAAAAAATAAATGGCAGTATTGATACATGCTGCAATGTGGATGAACCTAGAAGTCATTTATGCCAAATGAAAGAAGCTAGTCACAAAGGACCACATACTGTATGACTCCATTTACAAGAAATGTCCAGAGAAAGCAAAACTGTAGAGACAGAAAGATTAGCAATTGCCTAGGGTTTGTAAGAATGAGAGGATAGGAGGGTAATGGCTAAGGAGTGCAAGGTTTCTGTTTGGAATGATGAGAATGTTCTGAAATGGATTGTGACAGTCACACAACTCTCTGAACATACCAAAACCATTGAATTGTACACATTAAATGGGTGAGTTGTATGGTATATGAATTACATCTTAAATTTGTTTTTAAAAAAGAAAATAAGTACCTCTGCCTGGGTCTTCAAGGACATAGCATCCTCTCTGCCTCTGTCCTTCCACCCCCATACCTGCCTTGGTTTTAGTTTTGGTGATGTTTCAGGAGTGGGAAGCAGGACAGGGATGTATACCAGAGTCTAGTGAGAATCTCTTCAGTCTGATGGACCGATTTGAGAACATGATAAACAGTCCTGCTCTGAATACAGATCAGACTGTTACTCTTACATTCTATCATCAGAATGATGCCTTGAAATCTAAACATCACTGGTTTTCCCTGGCCCAGAATGATGAGGAACTAAGTATAGCAATCCAAATCACAAAATCATATTTCCAAAAGGCTCATCCATCTCAAGAGGGAAAATGGGAGAGAATATACACTTTTGTCTTGAGCTTCTTAGCTCATCACTCAGGAAATCAGTAGTTATTTGCTTATCATTCAGTGATTACTCCTGCTAGAAGTAGTATTTATTTCCACATACAAGCATGCTCTAATTTTTCCAATCTTAAAAAGAACTTGACCTTAATCTGACATTCTCCAGCTAATGCTCCATTCTCTTAACAGCCATCCTATTTTTCTATTTCCGTTTTGCTAAATAACTTCTTAGAAGAGTATTTTTCACCTGCTGTCTCACTTTCTCGCTTCTCATTTACTTTTCCCCTTTCTAGTTCAGTCATCTATCCCTACCACTCTGTTGAGAGTGCTCTTGTCAAAATCACCAACTGTCATCAGACTGCTAATTCCAGTCTGCATTTTCTGGCTTTATTTTAGGTACCATTTCAACACAGCTGACATTACCTCTTTCTTGACTTTCATGGGACCCAGTCTCCTGATATCTTCCTTTCTCACTGGCCATTCTTTCCCAGTTTCTCATGCTGCCTTTTCTTCTTATTTGGGGCCACTCAGGGCTTCCACTGGGTTCCTTTCCTCTTTTCACTCTCTCCCTAAAAGATTTCATTCAGTCTCACAGTTTTTGATACCATGAATCTTCCATCAGGATAGACATCTCTGAGCTTCAGATTCCTGTCTGTACCTAACAGCCTACTTTAGATAGGTTGGTAGATAGGTAGGTAGGTAGGTAGATATATAGGTAGGTTGATAGATTTCCATTTGGAAATTTCAGACATCTCAAAGGTTTATGTATATCCCATATTTTGGATTGGCTCATTTTTTAAACTGTACTTTATAATTATATTGAAAACACATAATAGATATAATTCCAGGGCTAGAATATTCTTTTTTTCTGTCTTTGCTCTTTACCAAGGAGAGTTTTCAATTCCCAGTTCAATTCCAAAATGCATATCTCCAACCAAAACAACTCTTCTAATCTTCAGGCTCATTTATCTAGCTGCCTAATTGATATCTCCACTTATATCTTGCAGGTATCTCTAACTTTACATGCCCATTAAATTATTTGAATGGCTGGATCCTTCTCATTATCTAGGTCTCATACTTCCCAGAGAAGCCTTCCCTGTCCACTCTTATCAAAAGTAGGTATCCCTTATTATTCTGTAGATCAAGTTTTCTTCAAAGCACATATCAACCAGTATACTTTTTGCCTTCTCCACTAGACTAAGCTTTATGGGGCCAGGGACTCTGTCTCATCTCTAAATTGTATCTCCAGGTCTTTCACAATGCCTGGCACATGGTAAATAATAAATATTGGTTCAATCAATCCATCATTCCCCAAAAGAACTTCCCAGGAAGTCCTTTAATTTAATTACTACATTCAAATGAATCCAAGTGTAACACTACACTCGGCTCTGAGTATTACGAGCCAAACACTGTTATCACTTTCTGTCTTTTGAGGATTGTTGGGATCATGCTTAAGTCTTTTGCTACTTGTGAATTTTATGGTTAAAATTAAAGGTAATAATTTTCTTCTTTTGTAATACAATCAGTGCTAATTAAATTTCTTTATTCCAGGATGGAAGGCTAACATTTTATCCAGGAAGTCAGGTTGTGAAACTTCCTTTTATCAACTTCATGAAAGCGCGTGGCACTTCCTTTCTGAATGCCTACACAAACTCTCCAATCTGTTGCCCATCACGTGCAGGTATGAACATGCTTAATATTAATGGAAGAAAGCGGCCACACACTGAAAATGTTTTTACAATTTAAAAGATTATACCCCAAAGTAGTATAGTAATTCACATTTAGCATCTAATAAAAAATTTTAATGTACGTGATATGTGCTTTAAACTATGTATTGGGTATTGGAGTTATTAGAATTTCTAATTTATTTTTCAAGAGCAGGAATTTTATCATCTAAAATGGTGTTTGTTTCATTTGTTACTGTTTCATTTTATTCTGATTGGTGACTAAGAATCTTTTGACTATCTAAATACTCATATTTCCTAGAAGAGGTCTATTTCCATGAAAATTTTTCAGTAAGAGCACTGGGAGTTAGAACTCCTCATCCATTATTTGAAATTTTCCATGTTATTTCAGGTTACATTTTTTATCTCCTCAGTCTCAATCCACTTCTATCCCAAACCTAATTGTTCACTTTTATTATAGTAATTTAACAAATAGGCATAGTTTCAATGGCAAAATATCAGTGACATTAAGTCATAAATAATTGAGAATAGGGAAAAACTTGATTATTATAAATTCTGTCTCTTTTTTTTTTTTTTTTTGCTCTTTCTTTTTTCTTAATGTAAGCGTTCATCATTATGAACTTCCTTCTTAGAAATGCTTTTTCTGCATCACATTAGTTTTGGAATGTTGTGTTTCCATTTTCATTTGTCTCAAGATATTTTTTCTTTCTGGATTTCTTTGACCCATTGGTTGTTCAGTAGCATGATGCTTAATTCCCATATTTGTGAATTTTCTAGTAGCTCTTTCTTTTTTCTTAATGTAAGCGTTCATCATTATGAACTTCCTTCTTAGAACTGCTTTTTCTGCATCACATTAGTTTTGGAATGTTGTGTTTCCATTTTCATTTGTCTCAAGATATTTTTTCTTTCTGGATTTCTTTGACCCATTGGTTGTTCAGTAGCATGATGCTTAATTCCCATATTTGTGAATTTTCTAGTTTTCTTTTTGTAATTGATTTTTAGTTTCATGCCATTATAGTCAGAAAAGATGCTTGATATGATTTCATTCTTAAATTCATTAAGACTTATTTTGTGGCCTATGATCTAACCTGGATAATGTTCCCTGTGCACTTGAGAAGAATGTATATTCTGTTTCTTTTGGATGGAATGCTTTACGAGTGTCTGTTAAGTTCATCTGCTGTAACATATAATTTAAGTGTTTTCTTGCTGATTTTTCTGTCTGAATGATCTCACTGTTGAAAGTGAGATATTTAAGTCCACTAGGATTATTGTATTGCTGTTTATTTCTCCCTTTAGTTCTGTTACTATTTGAAGACAGATTTATTGAATAAATGGTTGTAGAAAATGAGGGAGAAGACATAGTACACTCGAAATTTTTGTGGAAAGCCAATGCAAGGACAAGAAATAGGGAAAAAACTTGAGGATGTTGAGAAGTAGGATCTGTGCTTCAACTGACTGACTTGGAAAATTAACCAATAAATACTTAGTGATTATTTTCATAATTGAAAGAAGACTCTAGAGTCAGGTTTTATATTTAATTCCAGGTGTATTTACCTTAAACAACTTAAGTTGTAAGCCTTAGAGATTCACCTGTAAAATGTAAACAGTAAACTCCTTGCAGAGATAACAGTAAGAAATATTATGTAAAGCATCTAATGCAGGTATTTCTCATTCTAGAGCATGAGCTCTAAACTAGTAGACTCTATTCTGTCTTGGAATATTTGTCTTAATAGTCAAAACAAATTGTTAAACTATACACTAATCCCAATTTCTTCTTTCCCCTTCCCCCTCAGCAATGTGGAGTGGCCTCTTTACTCACTTAACAGAATCTTGGAATAACTTCAAGGGCCTAGATCCAAATTATACAACATGGATGGATATCATGGAGAAGCATGGCTACCGAACACAAAAATTTGGAAAAGTGGACTATACTTCAGGACATCATTCCATTAGGTAAAGAATAAAACAAAAATAATTCTAATAGGTTAATTCTTCTCTGCTATAGCACATGCATATACTCTTTTTGACTTTTATTTTTATTTCTCCACAAAGGTAAAAGTAAATCTCTTAATCCCTCAATTGGGTTAATTTGGCCAAAACTTTAGCTTTTTTTAATCTTCCTAAAATATTAAAATTGCTAATATGCTAGTATTTTGTTATTTAAAACATTAAAGGTTTATAAAAGTATCTATAAAATTGTTTAGATTTATTTTTATTGAGTTTCTATTTTATAATAGCTACTTGATTAGTCACTTTATGATCTGTTTTAAAGACCATAATCTTGCTACTTGCTTTTATCATAATCTTGCTACTTGCTCTTTCCAACATAAGTCTATTGTAACTTTCTTTTTCTTCATTTTACGAAGTCCTCAAGAACCAGACAGCTAAACATGGTGGATAACAGTAGAGATCTAGAATCAGACTGACTACTTTCGAATCCTATTTTCACTATTAACTACTAACCTGTTGTAGTATAATCTTTGAAACATTATCTTAGCTAATGGACTTTAATTTCTTTGTTGTAAGGATAAAAATGAAATAATATGTGCAGAAAAGAGCTAACACAGCAGGTCTGAGACTTCTGTCCTTAGAAAGGCCTGTTCTTGGGTTGGCCTTTGCCTGACGTCTGGGAACTTGAATTTCAGGAGTGTTCCCTATATTCCCTAACTAGTAAAATGACTTACTACATACCTATAGTGTTTTTGTATAACGTGCTTTATGCTGAACACCTACTTTCACTGTGGGAATCTATAATTTTGTTATGTGCTAGGCAGAGGGTATCTACATAATCAGCACCCAACAACAACTTGGGTACTGAGTCTCTAATGAGCTTCCCTTGTAGACAGCACTTCACATGTATTGTCACAGGTAGATGCTGGATGAATTACGTGTTCCCTTTGTGATACCACTTGGAAACTCGTACCTGGTTTCCTGTGGACTTACCCTAAGCATCTTTTCCCTTTTGCTGATTTTGCTTTGGGTCTTCTCACTATAATAAATCATAGCCATAAATACAACTATTGCTGAGCCCCCAGAGTCCTCCTAGCAAACTTGGATGTGATCTTGGGGTTTCCCAACACTTGTGACTCCTGACACAAATTTATATTAAGACCTTAGAGCACTACCTCTTGCCTAACAGGTGCTAATTGAAGGTTATGATATTGATAGTAGTGATGAAGATAATACTAATGATTATGATAAGAACCAGAAAAATAAATTTAATAAAAATAATGGTGAGTGTAGTGAGATGAATAGTGTTCACCAAAACTTCATGTTCACCTGGAACTTCAGAATGTGACCTTATTTGGAAATAGGTCCTATTTGCAGATGTACTTGGTTAAGGATTGTAGGTGAAATCATCCTGGATTAACCCTAAATCCAATGACTAATGTCCTTATTATAAGAGGAAAGGACACAGACACACAGGGAAGGCAGTGTAAAGACAGAGACAGAGATGGGAGTGATCACAGCTACAAGCCAAAAAATGCCAAAGGTTGCCAGGATTTACCAAAAGCTAGGAAGAAGCAAGGAAGAATTCTTTCCTAGAGCCTTTCAAGGAAACATGGCCATGATGATACCTTGATTTCAGATTTCTATATCCTAGAACTGTGAGAAAATAAATTTCTGTTGTTTTAAGCCATCCAGTTTGTGGTAATTTGATATAGCAGCCCTAGGAAATGAATATAATGAGTTTTGAGTAAACAGATACTAAAATAATCTAGAAAAATCTGAATAGAGCAGGTCTTCGAATAATGTCCTTTTGTTCAACATCATTTCATTATAATGTTGTTGAGAGGCCCTAAGAACTTAATGCTTGTTTGTATCAATTAGCCTAGGTAAAATTGGTTTTGTTATATGTCATTTCACTTAAAGTCACAGAAACAATCAAGGACATTAAGCGAGGACATACTGTATTAATCCTGCTCTTCTGGTTAATGTTAAATTTCTTTTCTTTTCTGTCTTCCAAAATCTAAATGATATCGATTCTAGAAACCCCGTAGTAATGTTGACGTCTCTTGCCCACTCCCATCTTCTTATCATCACCAAATACTGTCAGCTGTACTTCTACAGTATTTTTCCAGTTTGTTCACTTATCGTCTCCACCAACCTACATTATTTCTTGCCTAAACTATTGAAATGGCCTTCCAACTTCTTTTCTTCTATCTGGCTCATTTTCTATAGGCAGCCAGCATGATCTTTTAAAAACATACATCTGATTGAATGACTTACCTCCTTAAAGTCTTTCAATGGTTTTTCTCTGCAGGTAGGCTAAAATCCCAAATCTGCACATTGTTTATAAGAGCCTGCATAATCTAGCCTCTGTCTACCTCCAGTCTCATTTCATAGCACTTTCTCTCTTCCTCAGTTTGCACCTGGTCTTTCTTTAATTTCTTTAACATGCTTTTTACTACCTCTGGACCATTGAACAAGCTAGTCCTTCTG